GATATAAAAATATCAAAATAACGAAGTAAATACTCTTACACACGCACACACACAACACACGAGAAACATTCTCCTATCCGAATTTCTTTTTGAAGTAGTATTATATTTGTTTTCTTTTTTTCGCGTTCAATTCGACGCGATCCGATCGAAACGAAATTATTCGCGCGTAACGCGCGCGTTGCTTCGTTACTCGGTTAGGCTGCTCGACAATGGAAAATTATTAGAATGGATCGATAAATCAGAGGGCGATAACGCGACATCGTTTCTCGACTTGGAAAGGTTCTTACGAGTTTTCTACGCGAGGACATAGAGGATCGTTGTCGTTCGATCGTGGGCGTTCGATTCCTCCAACGATCTCATCGAATGTGCGAATTTGTTCTTTAGAATGAAATATTAAAATTAATGTTTCAAGAATTAAAAACACATACCAAATCTCTAATTCGATTGTATTCTTATGGGAGAGATGGATAATGAGAAACATGAAGAAGAAGAAGAAGTAGAAGTAGAAGTAGAAATAGAGGAGGTGAGGTAGAGAAGAAAGGGAAAAGAAAAAAGAAAGAGGAGGGAGTGGAACATACACGCATACTACGTACACGTATACACATACTCACGTTCATGCATACACATAGAGAACGTGGCAGTTGGCGTGCAGCGTAGAAAACGAAACAATAATTCGTGCGATCACAATGCACGAAGCAGCATTGTGGACGCGGGGTCAGGAGCGTATCTATCGGTGGTCGCAAGTGGTGTAACAATACCACTAAAAGCTCTTATATGATTATGTGTATGTGTATAAATCTTTCGTATATTTCTCTCTCTCTCTCTCTCTCTCTCTCTCTCTCTCTCTCTCTCTATTTCTCTATTTCTCTTTCTCTTTCATCATCGCGAGCGTATCTGCCTCGAGCCAGCAGCAGCATCACCAGGACCACTAGGAGGCGAGCGAACTCTTGCCGTATCCACCCACGACGTGGCATACTGTAACGAGGCTACAGTCCATTAAGTGCGTGCGGCTATTATGGCTAATGCATTATGAAGTAATAAAAAACGGGAACTATAGCATAGCGTCTTTCTCTCTCTCTCTCTCTCTCTCTCTCCCTCTCTCTCTCCCCTTTCTTTCTCTCGCTTTGTCTTTCTTTGCACGCGCCCAGAGAGAACCGGACCACATTCCACGTCGGAAAAGGATATGTGTTAGTATTATATGTGTATGCATGTATGTTTATGTGCGTATGTGTACATGCCGATTTCAACGAACGTTAGTTTCTTGACGCTACCCGATGCTCATCGATAGACCATCGAACTCTTCTCTAAGCGATAAATGTAAGCATGTATGTTAGTAACTTACATGTCTCTCTATGTTCATATCGTCCATTGCTTTACTCAGAAGTATTCCGTTGTAAATCAAAGACAATTGCGTTAGCCATATATATGTAAGGATTTTGTATCGCGTGGGAATAGCCGACTCGAGTCGTACAACACGGTGTCGTTTAACGTCTTACCCGATATCCCGTTTCTTCTTTTATTTCGATAGATCGATATGCCGATTCTTCCTTCCGGTAACACTCGACGGAGAGGACCGTTCGAAAGAAGGAAGTAGGAAGTCTTGAAATCTTTACAACCGGGTAGGATCTTTGAAGAAACGATAGGGGTGGGGTGGCGCCTTCTGTTGTAAGACGAGAAGGAGAACAGAAACAACCCTTTTCCTTCTTCTTCTTTTTCCTGTCTATCGTAAGCGCGAAAGTACCTTGGAAATTGTCGACTATCTAAAAATATCTATTCTCTCTCTCTCCCTCTCTCTCTCTCTCTCTCACTCACTCTCTTTCTCTGTCTCTTCGCTTTCCGCTTTTTCTCGTCTTTTTTTTTTTACTCTCCGCCTTTCCACTACCCTCGAGCGAAGAGACGCGACTCGTCGGCCATATGGTCCACGAGGGGAAGATAAAAAATTCATATTTCCACCGTGGAAGGGCTGAGGACGCGGTGAGTGTATTTTTAAAAGCACGCGCTTCTCGAGAACGCGTTCATTCAACTTTTCCTCTCCTTGGTACTCGACGATTCTTCAAATCTCATAATTCTACGTTTTCTTTCTATCTTACTCTTTTTCTATTTTCCTTTTTGGTTGAACTCTATTTGAAAAGAGCAGCATATGGAAACGATCTCGAATTATCTAAGTTGGATCAATTAACTCTAACACTTTTTTCAATGCCAACCGGAAGATTCGTCTAATCGTCGTCCATTAATAACCCCTTCCTATTATTATTATAAGTATTATTATTAACATTATTAACATTCGATTATATTCATTTATCTTTATCCCTCTTTTCCATGGGTTTTCTTTCTTTTCTTCTTTTTTTACTGACATTTTTCCAAAAATCTTTCAAATTTATCAATCAAGAGATACTTTAGTCGTTTCAGCTGTTCATTAATGTTAGTTCCTTCTTCAAATCGTTTTCTCTCCCTTCCAGGCAGAAATCTGTACATCTTTCGATCGTGGAAAGATATTTTCATCGAGAGTGTGAGCCTTCTCCTCGACTACCTGGAATCGAATACTTTTTTTTTGCTCTCTTTCTCTCTCGATCCAGCCCTCTTCCTCGATTCCGTTATTCAAGGGTGCGCGTCCTTACGTCTAATGGTTTTTCTCATAGCGGAACGGAGAAACCCTTTTTTTCACGTCGAAATGCAAACCCCGTATAGGCACCATTCTCTCTCTCTCTCTCTCTCTTTCACTCACAAATACACACGACGATTTTATCGAAGGTTTTTAAATCACGCGAAACAACGTCTCGTCGTCGTAGTTCATAACCGGTGAGATCTAAGAAACGCGATACTTTATCGACGCCTTCGAAATAAAAACTCTCCGTTAAGAAGAACCTATATCCAATCCATTTGAAGAAAAAGGGGTTCGCCTTCAACCCTTTCCTTCAATCATCGAAGAACCTAACGGGTCGCAATTTTTTCCCACATTCTACTTTTCCAAATTGACTACCTACCTACCTACCTACCTGCTTTTCTTTCCTACAATGAGAATTAATCTCGGATTTTTTAATTTCCTGCTTTATTTAATATATATATCTTTTTTTTTCTCTCTTTTTCCTTGCTCTTTTTTCCCTTCTTTTTTTTTTTTTACTTTCTCCATCTCATAAAAGAAAATCTACCTTACCTATCCAACGTAATCATCCCTCTTTCTTTCCGTTGTTCATTTTTGACGTGGCTACGGGTTCGATAAATCAACAAAAAATTTCATCGAAGAATAGAATCCGAATGGAAAAAGACAATGGTCCCCTTTTCATATAAACGAATCTATTCGGTTTTAATCGTTCGTCTTCACAAACCACCCGCACGCACGCGCACAATATAGAAATGATCTCGGTGAATTTTCTAAGTAAATGAAAGATAAAATGGATGGTACCATCATTGTCATCGTCATCGTCATCATCATCATCATCATCATAAAAACCATCTCGTATTTTTTCTTATTTCTTTATCGGTCAATTTTCATTTAGTCTCGAGCACATTTCTAATCGAGTTCTACGGATACATTAGGATAATACTTTTTAGTACGCCAAACGAGCGAGCATGTCTCCGGTTGGGAAAAAAAAAAGGGAGGTGCCCGGTTCTCTCGGAGAGGCGAGAACTCTGTTCTGTTATTGGACGAAAACTTACCCTCGTTCGCGTATCCTCGTGCTACCCTTCGTTGCACCGGCCGAGCATGCGCTCTCTTACCGAGACCACCACTTTGTTCTCGCTTCCGCATTGGAAAGAAAATTTGCATAGGGAGTTTGGGATTCGGGTGAAATAAAAAGGGACGACGTAAGGGAGAGGGCTTGTTTTTTTTTTCTTTTCTTTAGGAAATTACGTTAAGTTTAATTAGCGTTAACGTAATCACCACACATTGCGAATCGTATTAAAATATTTTCAAGAGATCATATTACTATTATTCAAAATCGTACAATATAAATTGTCCAAAATCTTTTATAAATATATATTTTAATATAAAAGAAATACATTTGTATTTAAAAATAAGATCCAGTTAATCACGAATAAAGAAAAAAAAAAAACCAAACAAACTCCAAACGAGGATTACGTTAATAGTCGAAGAAAGAACGTGTGGTATCAGCCCAAAGAGTTTTGCGATAAGAATCGTTGAAAGAACTGGACGATGTAAAAACGAGTGGGAGTGTCCTTTTAAAAAAGGGGTTGCGACGATTGGCCAGTGCAGGTCTTTCAATACACATGCGAAGCTAGCAAGCAAGTACTCTACCCTACTAACCACCCTCGCGGACGATAGAAAATGAGTTTTCGAAGCTAACGACGCAGGAGTTTCGTTCGTTCTAATCCAGGGATCGATAAAGATCTTGCAATCGAGGACAACAAAAAAGGGGTTGCTAATCGTCTGAGAAAAAAAAATAGAAGGGGTGAGAGCAATATAGATGACTATGACGACGACGTCGGCGTCGACGTCGACGACTATGAGGACAAAAAGAAGGAGTAGGCATCGCGACGGTGAACGACGTCAAGTTCCATCTCTCTCTCTCTTTCTTTCCCTTTTCTTTTCTTTCCCTCTTTATCTTTCTCTGACCGTCTCCCGGAGGCGGGGAGTCGTAGTGTTGCGCGCGCGCGCTCAGGGGTGGGGCATCGCTCAGCTGGGTCGAGCCGTTCTACGAGTGGTGGGGCTCGTGGAGTCAAAGATGCCGAGTGGTGGGGGGTCTCCTCGCGCTACCGAACCTCCTCCGTCTCCTTCCCGAGTAGTTTCGTCTCTCTCTTTCTTCCTAGGACCGCTTGGCGGCGGTGGTGGCGGCGGAGGGGTTCAGTCATCTCGCGCCAGCCGAGCCACGCGCATATTGCTCCTCTTCGATTTCGATTTCGATTTCAATTCGATTCGATTCGATTACTCGCGACAGTATTTCTTGGCTTGGTATTCTATCGCGAATTTTTATTTTATACCATACAACAATATAACAATATCAATTATTAATAATAATTATTATAATAATATTAATAACAATATATAACAACACTCAACAACGATAGGAACGAACGAACGAACGTTATTGTTTCTTTTTAGTCCTATTTCGTTAAATACGTTAAAGGACGAGGACGATAATTGTCTCTCTTTCTCTCTCTCTCTCTCTCTCTCTTACTCTTTCTTTTTGTTCTTCTTTTTCGCTCTTTTTTTTTTCGACACTGAAAGAGCGCAAGTTCGGAACTGGACCGCCCTCTCCGGACGGAAGCCACGGAACAACACCCCCACTCGACTCCCTCCACCAAAGCAAACTACCACCTCTACCTTCGCCTCTTCCTCTTCCTCCTCCATCTCTTGTTCTTCTTCTCCTCCTCCTCCTCCTCTTCGTTCTTCTCGATTGAGAGAAAGAGAGAAAGAGTGAGAGAGTTTCACGCCAATCCCCCACTTTCGAAAAGGAGAGAGGCAGATACTCAACGATAGAGCCTCCGGCACACGGGCACCGAGAGTACCACGCGAGTGGAGAACCCGTGGCTCCGTCGCGTTCAACCCCCCGAAGAAGACCGGAGGAGCTAAGGATCTAAAGTAAATCTATTATACGTGATAGTATATATCAAGAAAAGAAAATTATTCTCTCTGTCGTTCTTGTGTCGTCGTAAACGATTAAACGACAAATTTTCCCTAGCTCCGGTTGGTCAAGCATACGCTTATCTAATTATCTCTCTATCGTCGTTCGGTTTGAGAAAGGAAAATAACAACGCAACTGCTTCGAGTGCTGGTGGTGGTGCTGGTCCATCGTCAATTTGGAGAATGGAGAACGTGAGATCGTCGAAGACGTGGAAGAAAAGCTATCGATAAACGCGGGGTGGTTTCCGTAACAAGGGCTGATCGAATTTCCTCGACTAACCGAGGTGGATAAGGGTACGCGACGCGTTGACCACCCCGTTGATTGAAAAGAAAAAGAACCTTTTTCCGCGTGGAAAATGTGAGTGCCACCGAGCAACGTTTCTTCTGTCTGCGGGTGCCTTTGGTTCTTTTCTTTCTTTTTTTTTTTTCCTTTTTTTTCTTTATTCTCCTTCTCTCCGTTCCGTTTTTTCTTTCTTATTATTCTCTAATTATATATTACGAGAATCTTCTTCGGGGGGCTCGCGAGTAAGGTGTCGCGAAAGAAAAAATACTTGGCCATTAAGAGGAAAAGTGTTCGTGAACGATTAGGTGTGAGTGATTTATACGTATACTCGAGAGGAGCTGACTGTGGTGCTTTATTTCCTTCCTTCCTTCCCTTCATTATTTCTTTCTTAATTTTATTTCCATTTTTTATCACTCCATCCTTGTTATTTTATCACGGAAGTGCGCGAACTACGATTTCGTTTTGATCGAGATTCGAATAGAGAACAAAACGTGTTAACTCGGCATTGATAACGAGTTATATTATTTCCCCTTTTCCATTTATTCATTTTCCTTTACAATTTCTCTATTTCTATTCCCTCCCATTATCTTTCATTATTTTTTTGTGTGAACACGTTACATCTCGTCGTCGTAATAAAAAGTGTTTTTGGAAGTTTTTATATATTTAATAACCAGTTGGAAGGATTCTTGATCGTCGTGCCGACGGACTATCATGCTAACTTTAAGTGCGATAAGTGGAAGGAACGAGGATACTCGCTGAAAAGGATTTTCAAGGTAAATTATATTTTATTATTTATCCATCTATCTCCTTTTATTTCGCTATTTCTATCTCTTTCTCCTAATCATTTCATTAAGAAACGTGAAACGTTGTCGAGCAACATTGAAAATCTTCCGACTCGTAAATAGACTTATAAATGCATTTAAATACACACATGCGCACCCGTTCGAGCGCACGCGCTCGTACATACATATAAACACATACGCGTATATATGCATACACATATATACACACACACATGCTGCTACTACTTCTAACTAGAACTTTATAACATTTTCTTATGTTCGGTAGAAATAGAGCGTAAATAATCGCACATAAATAGCCAACGTTCGAGCTCGAACGGTGCGACCTGTGAACCGTCGAGAGAGTATCGAGAGATACAACGAACAGTCGATCTCAATCGTGCGATATTCAACACCTCGATTTAAAACTTGTTTTAAAACTTACAAATTATCCAAGATTTTTCTTTATTTATTATGATTTTATTATATAAATCTACGAAACTACGAGGAAACAACAATTCTACCTAAGTACGACTTTTAAAATGCGTTTAAAGTTGAAATTCTCTATCTTTCTTCTTTATATCCGCGACGTGAAAATACAATGTTAGTGAAAAAATATTTGAATTATGCTCGCTCGACTGCTCGAATGTTCGTCGTCGTTGTCGTCGTCGTCGTCGTGCTTTATCGCATCTGAAAGCTGTAAAACAAGTTGGCATTTACTCTTTGCCACGAAACGGCGACGAAAACGACAAAGAGAGCCGGATGCATTTTCATTTGATGCCGCGTCTAGAAATTTTCTTCTACTTGATTTCATCTCGTTTAGTTGCATAGTTTGCCAGGATAATACGAATTTAGCATCGTTAGAATTGTTCCGAAAATTCTTCGGTTAATAAAAAAAAAAAAAAAAGAAACAAAAATCATCTTTGAGTGTACAATAAATCTGTCTGTATGTATGTTTGTGTATTTTTGCGAGTGAAAGAAAGAGAAAGAGGGAGAGAAAAAGACCGAACGATAATTTCGCGTAGTTCGCGCCAAAACATATTTGTCTACTTTTATGCTCGGTAATAAATCAGAAAATTCATGCGATCGTATAGATCTACAGATCCTTTTCGGTTTTACTTACCTCTCTTTCCATCTTTCCTTTTTTACTATCTTTCTATCATTTTCTAATACGACAGACGTCCAAAAAAGAACGTTCGTTCTTAATACGATCGAGAGAAAATGAAAGTCAAATGTGCCAGGCAATAAAGTGAAGATAATTCTACGTATGTTAGTTTCGAATACAAAGCTTACCGCCTTGGAATTATATGAAATAGTTCTTAAGTGCTTTGTGCAATAAACTTCCTCGAATAGTTATCTTTTTTCTTTTTTTCTTTTTTTCATTTCCTATCGTTGACCATGATGATTTTCGTCGGAATTAGGAGAAGAACGGAGAAAAAGCATCGAGCTAACGTAAACGTTTTTTATATTTCTTCGGACTAATTTTTATTACAAACCAAAACAAAAATATGATTTTCGATAGAAGAAAAATTAACATCGAGTGACAGTCAATGCAAATAATTTTCCTAATATCCGAATAAAATACAGATTCTCTCTCTTTCTCTCTCTCTCTTTTTCTTGGTGAGAAAGAGAGAACGAGGACAGCAGCAAGGGTAGGGAGATAGGTGCGGGACTGAGGTGGAAGGAACGGGTTCTAGTTTCGTCGCGAACTCTCTTTCGCGACCTTGCACACCCGAAGAATTCGACCTCGATTCCAGGCGAAACAGGAAGGTTTCCCCGCGAGATTATGTCATTTCCGTTCTCTCGTCTTGTTTTTGCTTTTTCCCACGGAAGTCGTCGCGGCGCTGGTTCTCTCTCTCTCTCTCTTTATCTCTCTCTTTCTTTCTCTCTCGACGCCCACCTCTTCCAGCATCTCGTTTTTGCCAAGAGTGCCAGGCCTGCACGTTTCTCCCTCGTTTTCCTTCTCTCTTTCTCTCGTTCTCGCTCATTCTCACTCATTCTCTCTCTTCCTACGTATAAATAAATGTTTCTTTTTTTTCTTCTACTACTTCTTCTTCTTCTTCTTCTTCTTCTTCTTCTTCTTCTTCTTCTTCTTCTTTTCTATCTTTTCCTTTTTCTTTATTTTTACAAAACAAAACTCCTAATTGACAATGATAAATTCGTTGATGTTGAATTTTTACGAACGAATTAATGGAAAATCTCGTTATCGAGAAACAACGTGAAACGTCATTAATTAGCGTTAACACGTCGAATCGCATACTTCTATCACCTTTGTGACCCGCCGTCGTTTATTCTTTCAATCGGTGACCAGATGGAGATTCATCCATGACCGAGAGGTTTTTCTATTCCATTTATATTATATTGTTTTATATCTAATCGTAGAATTTTCTTGCTTATATACAGGAAAACGTGTTAAACTAACACGCATGTATAGGATAATGATTTCATGAAATGTAAAATTATTTGTAACTATTTCTCTCTCTCTCTCTCTCTCTCTCTTTCGCTGACTCACGAGAAGGAGACACGCGTATCTCGGTGTGTTTCGGTGACGTATTGTTTTGAATCAGGTAGTTTCGATTGACATTTTATATTGCAATCCGTCTCTAAGGAAAACAACACAATTTCCTACTTTATTAACGTTTAGTATTGCTTAGAACGTTATCGAAGTCGTATTAGTAATGGGAAGAGCTCATTCCTTCGGGTTCCTTCGAGATTACGATACGAATGACTAGAAACGAAGAAGAAGAAGGAGAAGAAGAAGGAGAAGAAGAAGGTTTGAACGACGAAGAACGATAAAAGAGACGTAAAAGCGAGGAAAGGGAAACGTTCAGGTATATACTCTTACGTAGATACATACATATATACGTACAAAGAAGAGGAGTAAAAGGAGTAAGAGAAGGATGGGATGGGATGGGCGGGAAGGGGCAGGGGAAAGAGGAGAAGGAGAAGGAGGGAACAAGAGATAGAGAGAAACGCGAAGGTGGAAAGAGAGTAAAGGTTGGTCCTGAACGTGGCTGCTGCCGTTGTGCTGCTGCCCGAGTAAGAGAAAGAAGGAAAACGACAGGTAGCGAGACGAAGATAGAAGGTACTTACTCGTGAAACGAAAAGGGGTGTACGGGGGAGGCGGGGAGAGAGAGAGAGAGATGGAATAACGTAGTAGAGGAAGAAAAGCTCGAAACAATTGGAGGCGCGGAGGCGGCCGCATTTCATGTTGCTTGGCATCGGCTCCCTTTAAAGAGTCTCTTGCTTTTTGTTAGCTCTTCGAAAATTATGATTGTTTGTCCGCGAGATTTACTGCTCGGAGGCCCCCTTGGCGCAGCACATATGTGTATATAGTACATATACGTACATATAAGG